CTAGTGTTTTTTCCTTGTTTGAAATAATAAGCATACTATGCTGAAAATGTTGCATATTTTCTTCCACCTTCAATATTAAAATGGCTACACAAAAATTCACCAACTTTTAAATTTTTTTAAATTGCACACTGACATGACAGATGTCACAGTACAATCTAACAAAATTGTTTCAAATGAAGTTGAAGACAACTAAGCACTACAAAGCCATCTTACAGAAAAAAAGCAAACTTTTTGACCAATCCAATATAAACAAGGTAAGACAACTCATAGTAATGCCCTCCTGGTTAATAATTAAACTATAGAACAATGAAGAGATATGATTATTATAAATCAGGATAGTGGTTACTTTGAGGGGGAGAGAGAAGCATGAGACTGAGATTGAGCACAGGCAGGTGCTTCAGGCAAACTTCTATATTCTTGGTCTGAAAATAGTTACAAGATGTTTCCCTTATAAAAATTTATTGTCATGCATTGTTTTATGTGGTTTCCTACAGCTTTTTTTTATTTGCAAACAATTCCCTAGCCCAGAGATTCTGATTCAGGGAGTGTGGGACAGGGTCCAGATATGGTTTTTTTAATTCAAATATAGTGACCATACAATATTATATTAGTTTCAGATGTGCAACATAGTGATATTCAATATTTATACCACCTCAATAAGTCTAGTAATCATCTGTTACTGTACAAAGTTGTTATGATATTATTGACTATATTCCCTGCATTATACATTGCATACCCATAATATATTTATTCCATAAGTAGAAATTTGTACCTCTTATTCCCTTTAATGTTTTTCACTCATATTCCCACTCTCTCCCCTCTGGCAACCATCAGTTTGTTTTCTGTAATTATGAGTGTTTCTGTTCTGTCTTATTTATTCATTTGTTTTGTTTTGTTTTGTTTTGTTTTAGATTCCACATGTCAGTGAAATAATATGGTGTTTGCCTTCTCCATTCAACTTATTTCACTCAGCACAATATCCTCTAGGTACATTCTTGTTTTTGCAAATGGCAGGATTTCATTCTTTTTATCGCTAAGTAATATTCCATTCTCTATATATATACACCACACTTCTTTATCCTAGGGAAAAAAAAACATGAGTAGTAAGTTTTTTTACACTAGCCTCAGCAATATTTTTTTGGATATGTCTTCCATGGCAACAGCCACAAAAGCTAAAATAAAAAACTGGGACTACAACAAAATAAAAAGCTTTTGCACAGAAAAAGGTAATCTACTGAATAGGAGAGATATTTCCAAATGATTTATTCAATAAAGAGTTAATATCCAAAATATATAAAGAACTCATATGACTCAACATAAAAATAAAAGTATGGCCCTGGCTGGCATAGCTCAGTGGATTGCGTGCGGGCTGCGAGCCAAAGCATCTCAGGTTCAATTCCCAGTCAGGGCACATGCCTGGGTTGCAGTCCATGGCCCCCAGCAACTGCACATTGATGTTTCTCTCTCTCTTTCTCCCTCCCTTCCCTCTCTAAAAATAAGTAAATAAAAAATTTAAAAAAGAAAGAAATGTATCCATTTCAATGAACCAAATTTATTTAAAAAAGTATGATTTTAGAATTCTCCAGGTGATTGTGATTGTGAAAAATTAACAAGAGTATCCTTAATCAATCTTAATGCTCAAGAGAAATGAAACAAGAACCAGAGCCTGAAGTGTTTAAGTCAATCAAAGACCCCTATGTTGGACTTCTGGCCAAGATGGAAATGTAGGTAGACACACTGTGCCTCCTCCCACAACCAAAAGGACAACAACAATTTAAAAACAGCAAACAATCAGAACTGACATAAAATCAAACTGTATGGAAGTCTGACAACCATGGAGTTAAAAAAGGAACATTCATCCAGACCAGTAGAGACAAGCAGCTGGGGTAGAGAGGACTCCTGGCAAGACAGCAGCTGGCAGACCAGGGCAAGCAAGGCGGTGGCTGGCAGACCCAGGGAGGCAGGAGATTGTGGAGCAGGGTGCACAAAGCTGCAGCTGTCCCAAAAGGCAGCAGACCAGGTTGTTCCCACATTCACATGCAGATAAACCAGGAAAAACAAAGAGGGAGCAGGATTGACCGCTCAACCCAGGGCCCCAGCTAGAGGAAATAAAGCTTCAAACCACTGATAGAAAACACCTGTGGGGGTTGAGGCAGCAGCAGGAGAAACTCCCAGCCTCACAGGAAAGTTCATTGGAGAGACCCACAGAGTTCCAGAACGTACACAAGCCCACCCACCAGGAATCAGCACCAGAAGGGCCCACTTTGCTTGTGGGAAGCAGGAGAAGTGACTGAAATACAGCAGAGAATGGAGCAAGTGCCATTGTTCCCTCTAGGACCCCTCCCCCACATACAGCATCACAACACTGCGACGTGGGTTACCCAACCCAGGTGAATACCTAAGGCTCTTCCCCTCACTATGTAACAGGCACATCAATACAAAAAAAAAAAAAAAATTGCCCAAATGAAAGAACAGAGCAAAGCTCCAGAAAAAAATACAACTAAGCAACAAAGTAATAGCCAACCTATCAGATGCACAGTTCAAAACACTGGTAATCAGGATGCTCACAGGATTGGTTGAATTTGGTCACAAATTATATGAAAAAATGAAGGCTATGCTAAGTGAAATAAAGGAAAATGTACAGGGAATCAATAGTGATGGGAAGGAAGCTGGGACTCAAATCAATAGTGTGGACCAGAAGGAAGAAAGAAACATCCAATCAGAAAAGAATGAAGAAACAAGAATTCAAAAAAAATGAGGAGAGGCTTGGGAACCTCTGGGACAACTTTAAACATTCCAACATCTGAATTATAGGGGTACCAGAAGGAGAAAAGGAAGAGCAACAAGTGGAAAAGGTATCTGAACAAATAATGAAGGAGAACTTCCCCAATCTAGCAAAGGAAATAGACTTCCAGAAAGTCCAGAAAGCTCAGAGAGTCCCAAAGAAGTTGGACCCAAGGAGGAACACACCAAGGCACATCATAATTACATTACCCAAGATTAAAGATAAGGAGAGAATCTTAAAAGCAGCAATACAAAAGGAGACAGTTACCTACAAAGGAGTGGCCATAAGACTATCAGCTGATTTCTTAAAAGAAGCCCTACAGGCAAGAAGGGGCTGAAAAAAAGAAGTATTTGAAGTCATGAAAAGCAAGGACCTACATCCAAGATGGCTCTATTGAGAAAAGCTTTCCTTTAGAATGGAAGGGCAGATAAAGTGCTTCCCAGATAAGGTCAAGTTAAAGGAGTTCATCATCACCAAGCCTTTATTGTATGAAATGTTAAAGGATAAACGTTTAAAAAGATAAACATTAAATTTATTTATCTAAGAAAAAGAAGATAAAAACATGTATTGTAACATGACAGCAAACTCACAATTATTAGCAACCACACCTAAAACTAAAACAAAAACAAAAACAGACTAAGCAAACAACTAGAACAGGGACAGAACCACAGAAATGGAGGGTTAGCAACAGGGGAGTCGGAGGGGGAGAGAGGTGGAAAAGGTACAGAGAATAAGTAACATAAATGGTAGGTAGAAAATAGACAGGGGGAGGTTAAGAATAGTATGGGAAATGTAGATGCCAAAGAACTTCTATGTATGACCCATGGACATGAACTAAAGAGGGGGAATGTGGGTGGGAGTGGGTGTGCAGGGTAGAGGGGAATGAAGGGGAAAAATGGGACAACTGTAATAGCATAATCAATACAATATATAGTTTTAAAAATGGGTCTCTCAAACACCAAATTAGAAATTCACACCTTGGTCATCTACCTAGAGCTGGACTTTGGGAGTGTTTGTCAAGTTTTATCATAAGCTTTGAGCCAGAAATAGTATTATTTTTTTCTCCCTGGGAATTATAAGTAAGAGAATCCAGATCTCAGTGGAGGAAGGACCAATGGAATCTCCTCCTTCTGTAAGAAGGTAAATAAATTAACAGAACTGTGATAGAATATACTTAGATGCCATCCAGTGAAGCCACTCACTAACTGAGGACCAAAGAAGACCATAATCTACATCCATGTTCATAGCAGCACTATTCACAACAGCCAAAAGATGGGAGAAACCCAAGTGTCTATCGGAGGATGAATGGATGAACAAAACATTGTATATACACATAAAATGGGGTATTATTAAGCTTTAAAAATAAAGGAAGTGCAAAACAGTACAGACACTTTGGAAGACAGTTTGGCAGTTTCTTACAAAACTAAATACAGCCTTACTATATCATCCAGCAATTGCTCTCCTTAGTATTTGGCCAAAGGAGTTGAAAACATGTCCACACAAAAACATGCACATGGATGTTTACAGCAGTTTCATTCATAATTGCCGAGGCTTAGAAGCAATGAAGATGTCCTTTAGGGCATAAATGAATAAACTGTATATCCAGACAATTAAATATTATTCAGTGCTAAAAAGAAATGAGCTATCAAGCCATGAAAAGACATGGAGGAAACTTAAATGCATACGACTAAGTGAAAGAAACCAATCTGAAAAGGCTACATACTGTATGATTCCAACTATGAGACATTCTGGAAAACTCAAAACTACAGAAACAATAAAAAGATCAGCTGTTGCCAGAGTTCAGAGGGGACAGGGAGTAAGAAGAGCACAGACAATTTTTAGGGTAGTAAAATCACTCTGTACAATACTATAATGGTGTATATTATCCTTACATACTTGTCTAAACCCATAAGATAGATAGCACCAAGATTGAACCTTAATGTAAACTGTGGTCTTTGGGTGATAATGATATTTCAGTGTAGGATTATCAATTGTAACAAAGGTAATACTCTGGTGGGGGATGTTTGTAATGGGGAAGGTCTGGTTGCAGGGGCTTGGCACGCAGGGGTGTATGGAAAATCTCTGTATCTTTCTCTCAATTTTGCTGTGCACTTAAAACCTCTAAAAAATAAAGTCTATTAAAATGTAAACAGATTAGTCCAAGTGGAGCAAGCGAGCTGAATGGTTGTGTAGTCAAGCCTCAGAGATTGGCAGCACTAGCAGCATGGCTGACCAGCTGACTGAAGAGCAGATTGCAGAATTCAAAGCAGCTTTTTCACTATTTGACAAGGATGGTGATGGGACTATTACAACAAAGGAATTGGGAACTGTAACAAGGTCTCTTGGGCAGAATCCCACAGAAGCAGAGTTACAGGACATGATTAATGAAGTAGATGCTGATGGTAATGACACAATTGACTTCCCAGAATTTCTGGCAATGATGGCAAGAAAAATGAAAGACACAGACAGTGAAGAAGAAATTAGAGAAGCATTACGTGTGTTTAATAAGGATGGCAATGGCTACATCACTGCAGCAGAGCTTCACCATGTGATGACAAACCTTGGAGAGAATTTAACAGATGAAGAGGTTGATGAAATGATCAGAGAAGCAGATATTGATGGTGATGGTCAAGTAAACTATAAAGAGTTTGTACAAATGATGACAGCAAAGTGAAGGCATTGTACAGAATGTGTTAAATTTCTTGTACAAAATTGTTTATTTGCCTTTTCTTTGTTTGTAACTTATCTGTAAAAGGTTTCCCCTACTGTAAAAAAAATATGCATGTATAGTAATTAGGACTTCATTCCTCCATATTTTCTTCCCTTATTGTCATTGTCCTGAACTCTTATTTTAGAAAACTGATCAAGTAACATGTTACATGTGGCTTACTCTGGATATATCTAAGCCCTTCTGCACATCTAAACTTAGGAGGAGTTGGTTAAATGAGGGAACATCTGGATAATGCCTTTTTTAAAGTAGTTTTCTTTAGGAACTATCAGCATATTGTTGTTGCAGTGTGGAGTTGTAACTCTGCAAGGACTATGGACAGTCAACAATATGTACTTAAAGTCGCACTATTGCAAAATAGGTGTATTATTCAGGTACTCATACACTATTTTTTTGTATTGCTGGTCCTGTACCAGAAACATTTTCTTTTATTGTTACTTGCTTTTTAAATTTTGTTTAGGCACTTAAAGAAAATCTGCTTATGGCACAATTTGTCTCAAATCCATTCCAAGTTGTATATTTGTTTTCCAATAAAAAAAATTTAACACCCCTCCAAAATGTAAACAAACAAAAACTTGTAACTTATGAAGTCTGTCCAGAAAATATCCAGCCATCAGCTACCCCCATAGTATTTTCCTGAATCTCATTGATGGTCTGAAATCTCTTCCCTTTCAAAGGTGATTTTAGTTTTGGGAAAAAACAGAAATCACAGGGCACCAACTCTGGGCTGTAGCAGGGGCTGAGTCATCTGAGTGACTTGATGTTTTGCCAAAAAATTCTGCATGAGATGTGATGTATGAGAGGGCATGTTGTTGTGATGAAGCTGCCAATCACCAGTTGCCTGTAGCTGTGGCCTTCTGAATCATCCAGATAGTTTCGACAGAGGAATGTTCAAGCTTAACACAAAATCTGATGCAGATTCATTGCTCCACTCACTCAGTTATTTTGAATGTAACAGCCACAAAGTACACATGCTCACTGAATAGTCTCTACCACCCCCACTGACCAGTACAGTGAAGTCATCATTATTCACACATGTGCATTCCAGTCCACTCTCTTTGGCTGCCAGGTTACATTGATGTCATGTAGACCATTCTTATTATATTAAATGGCTAGAGTTTTTCCAGACAGACATCATATAGGTAAAAGGAAATTATGTTATTACTATACAAAGAGCTCTAAAAAATCAATAAGAAAAAGAGATATCCAATGAAAATGAAAAATAGATATGAACAGGCAGATCATAAATAGATTCAAGTGATCAGTAAATATATTAGATAATATTAATAGCTAACATTTACTTAGCCTTTACTTTGAGCTAGGTACTATGCTAACACTGTACATGTAAGATGCCCTTAAACCCTGAAATCCAACTAATAAGGCATCTACAAATCCCACTTTATAGATGAAGAAATTCAAGTCCAGGAGATTCAGCAACTTACTCAACATCATAGGACCTGAGAGTATCAAATGGGAATTCTCACCCAGGCAGTCTGGCAAAGCACAACCTTACTCATACTAAAGGAATTGTAAAATCAAAATATTATTAAGATTTATTAATATACCATCCTTTCACTTATAAAGTTAGCCAAAATATTAAAGTTTGATAACACTCAAATGTTGACATGAATATGAGGAAATACAAATTTTCATGTATTATTATTGGTATAATCTTTTTGGAGAACAATTTGCCAATATGCATAGACATTTTATATCACCACTCCTGAAATATTATCCTACAGATATTCTCACACATATACACAAAACTATACATACAAGGATATTTATTTTTATATGGTCTTTACAATAGCAAAAATATAGGAAACAACATAAAGTCCAGTAGAACCTCACTGTATTTAATATGCCCATGAGAAGGGAGGTAAAATCTATACATGGCAATATTATCTACAAGATACATTAATTCTTAGAAATAAATGCAGAATAGTATCTAGGATGATCTCATTTGTATAAAATAGTTAGAAATCTGAGCTGTGATTACAGAGGAAATTTCCTGGAGGACCATTGGAAATTACAGTGTTAACTATAGGAACTGCAAGGTGGGAAGAGAGACAGACCTTCACTGTACACTTTGCACTATTTGAAGTTCTTATCATGAACATGTACAATGTTTAAAAACAAAAGCCAAGGTCTATACTTTTGAAATTCATATCTTAAATATGTATTCCTTCTGTTATGGAACAGGGGGGCTGGCCCTGAGCACATATGCCTAGGGCCAGCTGGAAGTGTGGGTTCTTGACATTGTGTAGAGAAGATTCACAACACAAGTCCAGGTGACTAGATTATGATGGTATGTTTATTAAAGCTGGGGACAGTGAAACAAGGAAAAAGCTTAGCAAGAAGACGCAGCAGGAGAGCCTAGCCTGGACTGCCTTAGCTCACTGGAAAATCAGAAAAAAGGGCAGCCTTGGGATAAATTCAGGGGATTAGCCTGGGCCAAGCTGTGCATGGCCTTATTGTTTAGGAGACTCCTGTGGGGAAACAAGAGGAGAAAAAGAATGGGGTGGGCAGCTTCTCAGAGGGACAGCAGCTTCTCAGAGGGAGAGCTTGCTCTGGGTCCTTTGTCTGGAGGCTATTATCTCTCCCTTGCAGGCAGGAATCTTAGGGGAGGTCTCAGGAGAGGGTTTCAGCAGAATATTCATCAGCTCTCCAGCTGTGCCCTTTCAGGGTCATGGTCTCCACTGATTGGTCAGTGACAGGGCAGGGGGTCTTTAGTCTTTATAATTGGTTCTGGTATCCCCCACCTAGTTTTGCTGCTTTGCTGGGCCTAGATGTTATCTCTAAGGAGGTGACCTTTTGTATCTGGCTGTAAATTGCTGGGCCAGTTTGTTGAGCTATTTGTCTGTTTCTCTATTCCACTTACCAAGGAATTTTCCTAGCTTCTTACTATTCCCTCTCACTTTCATTTTTAAAAAGACAAAAAGCCAGCCCTAATTTCACACAGACTGTGTAACCAGAAAAGACACCGGCGTTTGGGCTGCCTGTCACTACCAAACCCAATGAGCAATGACAGCGATTGAATTTTTTATGGGTGCTTTATTCAGATGGCCGGCGATCCGAGAAAATGGCGGTTCATACCCTAACAAACCATCTTGCCTTCTCTTTCCTGACCATATCTTTTATAAGGGAGTGGGGGAGGACAAGCAAGTGCGGTGAGGGCTTTGAAATTCAGGGAGGATTAGGTGAGCGAAGCTGCAGCCTTCCTGTTCGTGGCAGTTAGCTGTTCCCAAGGAGGGTGGGTCACACAAAAGGCCTGGATGCCTCCAACTTGTCCCCAGGCGGTAATCTCTAGCCAATGCCCCAGGAGGTCAGCTGCTTTTCCCGGGAGCCAGGATGGGCCTTATCTGTAGTTTCTGAAACAAAAGCTTAACATACACATTACTTGCTAGACTTACGGCTTTTTACCTTAAGCTAAAATTTTCCAAGTCTTGAGTCCCCTATCAACTGGAGTTTGAATTTCAGTTTCTTCATTTCCAGGTCATAAAACAGGGCAAGTTACTTGATCTCTCTGAATTTCAGTTGTTATTGTGAAGTGGGGCTAATTGTAAGAAGATAATGCATGAGAAACATCGTCATTGCTTCCGCCGTTTGTTTAGTGTCAGAACATGGCAGCCAATATTATCATTGTTTTCATTCATTGACAGAATATGAAAACCTGATGTTTTTCAATTAATTAATTGTGTATACCAGTAACTTCTTCAGGCAGATTATAAGTTTCTTCCTTACTGTGAAAATATTACATCTGGAGGTACAGCAGCCATCTTGTGACCATGAGAACATGTTGAAGATGACCGAACAAAATTATGGAAAGACTCTGAATTCCTAATGTCTTCACTGAGCCACTGTGCCTACTCTAGAACAGTGGCCTTCTAAATTATTAAATGAAATTAAGAATTAAGTGAGAAATTAAACATTCAAATTTTTTATATAACTTTTGGTTCGTAATTCAATTACTTGTAGCCAAAAATGTCCTAAGGGAGATGCCACCTCTGAGAGGCCTTGTGGGCATGGAATGAGAGAGGAGTCCTTGTCCTGGACACAGTCCCCTCTCCCCTACTGAAGAAGAGAGGCTCAGTCCTGTGCAGGCTGCGCTCTCTCTCTCAGTTCCATGCACACCCAGCCACTCTTCAGTTGTGAGGCTGTCACCCTGTCCTCCTGCTTGACCTGCTGTCAGGAATAGGCTCTCCCTCTGAGCTCTCTCTTGGCTGCCATCACCCCTGACAGACCTCACTGGCCTTGGCACCAGTTGGAGTGGGTGGAGATCATGCCAGGTAAGGAATGACGAGGGAGAAGACCTTCAGAATCAGCCCCACCTCTGAACTTTAGGCCTCAGTCCTTCTGTGACAGTCAACTCTAACTTCCATCCCCTCCTCGGCCCACTGCCCCCACACACTTTCCCGGGGGGGCGGGGTCTCTTCTGCCAGGCAGGGTCAGGCCCACTACCAGAAGGCCCAGTCCTAGCCCACACTGCTTTCCCATGGCCCAGGCAGAGGAGCCCCTAGTGTGTGACCACAGAGAAGTTCAGAGGCTCTAGGCAACTTTAAACAAAAGGTAAGTCATAGGGTTATGAAAATACACCTATTTAGGGTCCACTGACAAAGGCCCTTACATCCAGCCCCCTTGGCATGCATAATTCACATCCAAATCAAAGGTGTAAGTGAAGCTGTCTCCCTCTCCCTCCATTCCGTGCCCCTCCAGGCCGCTGACATCTCTGCCTGGACTCCACCCTCTCCATTCTTCCCAGCATCTCCACCTCTGTACTCCTCTCTGGTGATCTTCTGCTAGAAGGAGACCTGGTGGGCAGAGAGTGTCCAGAGGAAGGGTGGCGGGTGGCGAGGAGCACAAGGCACAAGGATCACCTTCCCTCACCCAGTCCCACATCGGACTGCAATACTGCCCGTGACTGGCCAACCTCCGCCCTCTGGACGGGTCCTGCGGGAGGTCAGGTCACTCCACGGGATTCCCAGTTGGTGAGGGTGTGTGGCTCCATGGTCACTAGGGGACATCAGAGCTCCGCCAGTGGACCACGCTGCTCTGTGACCTGCACTAAGTAGGACCCCTGTGAGAGACCCCACAGGAGGG